CAAAATCCCCCCCCCCCTTCCCCGAATTTCCTGGGGGGGTCCCCCTTTTTTTAAAAATTTTTTTGGGGGTTTAGGGGATTCAAATTCCCCCCCCCCCCCCCCCCCCCCAGTTGCTCTCGTTCCCCTCATCTCCGGGGATACCACACCCTTCAGCGTGCGCCCCTTCCTCCTGCTCAAGTTGCCCCTCCCCACCATCCAGGGAGCACCCTCTTGTTGTTGTCCCAATCACTATCGGCGCCCAAGATCCCTCGGTCGAGGTCTCGGCCACCGATAGCTTGTTTCACGCCACATCTCGCGTCTTCGCTGTCGAGGAAGCTGTGAAGCCGTAGACTACCGGTAGGTGTGGAGTGTGCGCGGTTGAGCTTGTTGCGCGATAGCCGTTTCGAGCCAACCCATCCCGACTCGAAGAACAATCGGGATAGGCTCCGAGCCCCCCGACGGGGCATATCTTTGAGGGGATGAAAGTGCTACGGGGACCTCGTCATCGGTTCGTCCCCCGCGTCCAGAACCCATCTCATCCAAAAACCTGTTTTCCACAGAATCTCTCTCCCTGTGTTCACGCCTTCTTTTCTTCCTTGTCGTCGCCTTGCCCTCGCGGCTGGAACGCTGGAATCCAGGACATGTTCCTCTGCAGCGGAAGCAGGCGAGGCCCGAGGCGTGTCCTCCTGCGGCTCCGGTACCTCGGCCACACACCCCATGAAGCAGTGCGTTCCTTGCGTCAGGCCGTCAGGGTCGATAGGATTCACTGCAAGCCGGTTACAACTCACAGAGTGCCATTCGAACAGATGCAGGTGTTCATGCTCTTCACCGAGCCGTTGGTAGCTTTCGTTAGCGCGGTGCTCGGGTCCCGCTGTCTGCATTCGACGCAGGACAGGCATCGCAGGGAGACGTCCTCGCCACACCATCTTGATGCTATCAGCGTAGTTCTCCATGCATGTCGAGTGTACAGTTATACGTGAGTCTCCACCCTCCTCTGACCAAGACCAATGTCACTGCCGAGCCCTTTTTGCGCTAAGAATTGCAGGCTAGCACCGCAGGAGGAAAGGGAGACAATCCTGTGTGACCCTGGCTGCTGCCTCAAACAATTCGAAAGGTGTAAACTCGCCCCCGCAATGAATGAAATGAATAAGAACCAAAACACAACCCTGTACGGACCCCCCTTACCCCCGCTCCCAACCGTGCTCCGTGCGTTCAGCGAAGAAACGCGTTTCGGCGAAAAAAAACTTTCTAAAGCTCTACACCATTCACCAATACACTATACGGACATACAGTAGTTCTTAGAATAGCAAGGTGCGTCCTACTTTTCTCCACGTCCGTCTGAAAAACATTCTTTGTTTAGATGAACACCCGATAAGTGTTAAGCATCGTTGCCCAACTCTGCCTTCTTCATGTCCAGGAACACCTCGTGTTCATCATCGACCGGCTGGTCGGGGCGAAGGATGGCCTCCCAAGTGGCAGTCCCGAGGACACCGCCGAGGAGGGGACCGACCCAGAATACCCTGTAAGCACAAGCAGCCGTTGTGGATCGAAAAAGTTCGGCTTGCACGAGAAGAACAGAGGATTGACCAAATTGAGGAAGCTCGAGAGGTTGTTACGAGGGACCAAGAATGAAGTGGACAGGCATCGTTGCCTGCACAACGCTCTGACAAGGAACGTCATGCGAGGAGGTGCATGCCGGAACAATGGCACGGCGCAATGGGTTGTCCCGTCAGTTTCGTTCTTCGTGTCCTTCCGACAAGTTTGCTTCGAATTTATTACTTCTCGAGCAGGGCGCTTGCTCTTCCGAGTATGTTGCGTCTTTTCTTGTTTTTTTTTGCTTCCCGAGCAGCAATCTTGCTGTTCTCTGTCCAATCCACTGCTACCTTGACGCCTTCCCCTTGCTGTGTGCGTGTCCGAGACGAGGCGAGCCGAGACAGCGGTCTCTGAAGGCCGCATCAACTCCCACTCACCAATGGTCGTCCCACTTGTTGTTGATCACGGCGGTGGCGAACGAGCGAGCCGGGTTTATGGAACACCCGTCAATGGGAATCAACACCAGGTGAGCTGTTCATCAAAAGGGCAGCAAGGAGAGGGTGTTGTCGGTAACGGGACACGCATGGGCTTGTTTGGGACGTGAGGGAGAGCTTCCTATCGAAAAGCCTCCCGTATGGCTTCACGTATGCTTGCCACAACGGCAAGAACCACTTGATCATCAGGACTCTCGGCCGCGCAACAATTGTAACCGCATCAGTCAAAACTGTGCGGACCAGAAGGGGAATACCGACATCACCAACAAAAACGATCGAATTGAACAGGCCGCACGCTTGACAACCCTTGTCGTCCTCACCGATCAAGACGGCCATCCCGATGACGAGCGGGAGGAGGGGTCCAGTGTGGGCGTTCTTGCGACCGAGCTCACCGTCGCAGGCGGTGAAAACAGTCACCACCAGCAGAAAGGTGCACAGGACTTCAGCACCGAAAGCCTCGCCAGCCTGCAGGGCGAACAAGGACAGTTTGGGAAACAATGCTAACGTCGGTTATAGTCTATCTTATTTTCACCGGTGTTGGTCCGTGTACATGATAGACAGAGGCACCCAACGACTTGGAGAACGAGACCTCCCGCACGAACAGCTGTATTCGTTGCCGTAGAACGAGGAGTACGTTGTTAACAACGAGCAAAACAGGGTCAGGACTTCTGACTTTCCTTGCCTCCCCTGGACGATCGATAGCAACGTCAGGCCTATGAGGTTAACATTGCGAAGACGTACCGAAACACCGTCCGCGATTGCGTTGAACCCGCCGCCGGTTGTGCTTGGAAAAGAATTGGCCATCGACGCTCCAACAACACCGCCTGCTATCTAGCGATGCACGAACACGGGGTGCAGAAAACGGCGAAAGGCTGTGCTCAGCAAGGCGTTGGGCAGGCGCACTGAGTGTACCGAACGATCAGACAAGGGACCCCTCCAGCAGCACCGCGGGCTAACTAGTATAACTTTGCAAGCACAAAATGTTTGGTATCACGGCGACAGAGGATTCGTCCGCTGCGTGTCCGGAGAACTAGTCGGACGTAGTGCCAATCGCCGTGTTATGGCATTGGGTTCCATACACTTATTAATAGCTTAGGCAAACAGCTCAATCCGACTACCAAGCTTGGGTGACAACGAACACAAAAACTGCACCATTCGAAGCTGGGGTCCAGGTCACAAAGCCCTGCCTACACGCAACCACGTCGTCGAAGCAGGAGGCAAGAAAGTGACCCGAATCGAACGTGTTCCTAAACATGGCGACAACATCAGCACACATTTTCCGGCAGCGTTTATATGAACGACATGGGGGAAACAGGGTACAGAGTAGGGTAGCGAGACAACAACTCTCGTACTGCACACCTGAGCTGCAACGTAGAGTCCGAACCGCTCAATTGAAATCCGTTTCCCGACGAGGAGACTCATGGATACCGCTGGGTTGAGGTGGGCACCGGAAACGTCCGCAAAGATGTAGCTGCCAGTTAGGACGAGAGCAACGAGAGCCAGCAAGGTTTCCGCGAAAAACGACGGTGATGTAGAACACTGCTTGCGTGTGAACACTGCTTGCGTGTTCGAGACGCCTACAGGGGATGCGCAACTCAGTGCACATGGCGAAACAGCAAGGAAACGGGTGGCTTGAGATAACCACCACATCCCAACATATCGCAGCATGACGAAAAACACCGGGGGGGGTGAGGTAGTTGCCGACAACACCCACCAACCGTCTTGCTTGTCTGCATCTACTACGGTACATGGGTGGTAGTGTTCTGAACCATGTATTCATTACTTCATCGAAGGGCTAGACTGCCCGTTCGAGATATTTCTCGGAGGGAATGCGTACCAATGCACAGCAACGAGGGCTGAGCCTGAGCACTGACCGACACCGCACTTGGCATGTTTCAGTGGCACCGTCATTTTGGCGATCCGACAACGTGCACGAGAGTTTCGCGTGAACAGACCTAACACCTGCGTGCCTGATTTTACCACGTACGAAGACACACCTCGCACACATCGGTCAAGAGTACTCAAACCAAAGGAGGCTGAGGGAACTGGCAGAAGGCGCTTTCGGTGGCTGTCAACAATAGGATGGTGACGCCGAAGGCCATGCAGCCGGGCACATACGTAGAACCAATCGTGTTCTAGACTGACCTTGAGGGGTCGGGATAGGGTCATAGATAGCACCAACACCTGCAACTACCGTGCACCCCAGCGGTTCTACAGATGCGGCTACCGCTTTTGGTGTTAAAAACTCCTCGTATATTTCAAGTAGACCCTGCGGCACGAACAACAAATACGATGAGGAACGTTGAGGAAATACCGAGTCCAAGCAGACTCACACAAGCACGAAGATGGATAGACCGAAGGCGGAAGATATCATGAGGATAGTCGCTGTCTGCTCCCCCGCGGCGTCACCGTCCTCTCTGTTTCCCGCCAGCCGGGCGACCGTGATTGCTACAGTTCATGGGTGAGAGAGATGAAATGAAACACACGCACGCGCAGCCGGGAGCTCAGAGTTAAGCGATCGGTACGAACAAGGTTTCGCGACTAAACGGAAAGCGAGTCAAAACGAAAAGATGAGTCAGAGGGATTCATACCAGGTGGGGGCAACGTTTTTCGGTCTCTTTGATTTGGTGCTGATGGAATTGTGGCCTTCCCCGCAACTGTGGGCCATATGGTTGTAAGTGCTTCGCTGACACATCGTTGGTGTGCAGTGCGGTCAACAAGAGGGTTTCCCTGACATTCCACGTCTTCTAACAGAAGCGATCTGAGGCCAGAGTCCTGCCGATAGGTTAGTGAAGCCCTCTTCTACACCAGCAGGTTTCGCGCTCCAGTCAATATCGTTTGTACCTTGCACAAAAAGCGTGAGCTTATTGAACACCGGTCGCGTTTGTTTTGGTCAAGGATGTGTGATCAAGCAGGCGCTGAACAAGCCATGCCTATCGGTGCGGGATGCACCCGTAGGCTCGTGTTTCGACACCAACAGTCTCGGACATGGCGAGGAACAGTATAAACCCCTGCTGATTGTTCTTCGTCATCTGGGGCCCTGAATATGGCTTGCCCATTACGTGACTTTTTTCGAACTTGTATGTAGATATTTTGTTACCTACATAATTTGTTCTTCTAGCCTCGTTACTAGAATAGCATACGCATCATTTCTGTGCGCAAGACGGTTAGTCCGGCCGCCATCAACGACATCACATAAGCTCTCACCCATGAACAGGAAGAGCAAGCAGCCCAGGAACTCTCCGCACACACTGAAGGAAATTTCGGAGAGAACGCATAGAAGAAGGGGTGTCATATTTTGAGCGCGCGCAGAAATCGGAGGAGGGGGATATACATGTGCCGACACAAAGACATGCGCCGGGATCTACATTATACAGATGGTCATACCTTCGAAAGAGCCTGTATCCCAGGAACGGGGGTTCGACCGTTTTGCTCTCTTTGCACCTCTGAGTCTCAGTGATCAGGCCGAGCTCCCACTCACGCGCCTTCATCGTCTGCCGAGAGTTGCGGCGTACGTGTAGGCGGAAGAAGAGAAAGAGAGAGAGAGAGAGAGAGAGAGAGAGAGAGAGAGAGAGAGAGAGAGAGAGAGAGAGAGAGAGAGAAGGTTGTGGTATAGTGGTGAGCTTCAATACATGCCCCCACCCTACCGCCAGTGAAAGCAGACGAGGGAAACTTGGTACCAGTACAGTATGTGTAGCGAACACTTTCTCGCAACGGGATAGGCAAGATGTACGTAGGGACACCATACAATCTCTCACGGAGGTTCTACCGGTTGGTTGCAATGCAATCTCTCCTTGCATTCTAGATATGGTGGTTTTGCTGGTGTTGTTTCCTTCCGATGTTTGCTCTGTGCCATCGAACATCCATACAGGCCGAACTGGCGCGGGCGCCTTCCGCTCGGTGACAGGTTAACTTGCCTAAATGAGGGCGGCTGCGAACGCAAGCGATCCCTAAAGTACCAATACTTCGTGATACAAAGGCTCCAGGAAGCAGACGTCCCAGGCTACATGCCGACAGAAGGACGAATAAAATCCAACAGCAGAAACTGAAATCAAAACATTGGTGTAGCCAAAGATATGAAGTCGGTATGCCGTTGGAAAGACGCAACCCGCTCTACGCGCCCTCGCCGTCAACGCGAAAGTATGCATGCACACGGCACACCGATAACAAAATGAGCGATCATCATACCTGCGTTCGTTCCATGGCTGATCTCTGACAAGAAATATCTGTCGGATCGTAAGTTGTGACGGGTGTGGGGGAACTTGAACGAGTGCACACTGGTACAGCTGTGTACAGCAGTAGTATTTTTTTTACAGTAGTATTAAGGAAAAATAAAACACACACAGAAAGACTACCCATTCGAGATATACCCACAGTCTATGTTCTCTGCTCACTGTCACACACGGAAGGAAGTCGAAGCTCGACATGTTTTTTCCGGAACCAAGAAGACCAGGCGTTTCACGTGGCTGGCGACTCATCACCCTCCCCGCTGACAAGATGAAATCGCGGAGCCCCTGTGATTTTTGTTTGGTGAATCAAAGAGCAGCACACAGCGCAGTGCTGAGGAGGAGCAGTGTCTCAGCCTACGGAGAGTCGTTTACGATGCCGGAGTCTGATAAACACGTGAAACCTATCAGAGACGACGGCAACCAATATATGTGAGTTCCAAAGAGGGCGTGGTTCCTCTTAAGTTTCAAAGGGCCATATCGACGGTTCCGCCGCATCTGCTCGTGAAGTACCTGGTATGCGTGTGGGAGTGTAGAGTGTAGAGTCGAGCACCCCTCGCGTGGGTTGTCGAGGAGAAGAAGGTGTTGTATTGTGTGGAGGGAGGTTCAAGCTTACATGTTGGGCGAGGGCATCATTTGTCCATGCGACGAGGCGTATCAGCAGCACACACGCATCATACGTCACGCGTCACGTGTCTTGAGAATAATTGGAACTTCGTGAGCGAGATGCATAACAGAGTTTGTATGCATACATGCGGGAGTTGATGCGGAAAAACAGCTAATTTGTGAACTTTGACCTTGCTCAATTAGCGCTGACTAGTGCGACAGTGTAATTTTATCAAATAGACCTATGCTAACGAAACATATCTGGGTGATCACTGCAGCAGTGACAGTAATGGGGACAGGTTGTCGTTCTGGAGTCGAGTCTGTGGTGAGTGTGTCGGAGGACAACGGGGGGGGGGGAGGGGAGCCCACCTTGGGAATCTCGTAGTTCCTGGGTGAACGGGTCCGGCATGTTGAACGTTCACGTAGTCCACCCAGACGTAGGCATCCCCCCAGCCGGTTTGTACTTCTCTAGTAGGCAGTGGTCGCGAATATAGACTGACCAACGAAGAGCCCGGTGGTGTTTTGTGAGGCCATTTGGCAAGTCGTGGGTGACGAGTAACTTGGGAAATCACGACATTACAATGTCGGCATGCCACAGCGGCAGCAGAGGCGAACAATTACAGGCGTCCGCTCACGTGTGTTCGAGAACAAGCTAACAGGGCAAGCGTTCGTTTCTTAACCCTTACGTGACTGGGGATTTTTTTGTTTCGCCGCCTTCGAAAGTGGCTCTCTCGGAGAACGAAAGGTCCAAAATCGTAAACGCGTGTGCACACAATCGCGAAGGTAACTCAACTATTCACACACGGCGGCATGGATGGTACAGCAATGAGGATAAGCCCTTGTGCGGGGCTCACAGGGATGGGGGGGCGGGTATATGTAAGGGTGACAACCCCGGGTGACGGGTGTAGTATGTATGAGAGATAAATTTGCATCAGTAACATGCATTCCTCTCTGTCAGCAACGACCCGCACAGCCAAGTATCTATGCAAGCAACACCTGCCGACTGAAGGATCATTGACAGTTCGTTGGTTCTGGCAACGCCGTCTGCCCCAACATCTGAGAGGCTTGGCATGATAAATAGTGCTGTGTTTAGTGCAACGCTGTGCACGTTTCTATTTTGCGTGCTATTTCGTGTTGGGGCTGCCTTTTGATCTCTCTCCCTGCCTCTCAGTATGTTTTGTTCACTTAGGCGAGGCACACCCGCGATCTTTCGGCACACAAGGCAATCGAAACTGCGAACGGAAATGACTCCTTGGTGTGGTCACACAAGGGTTAGCAGGACGCTTAGACTGTTAGGTCTTGCGTCTTTTTTTCACTTGAGTTTGCTCTGCACGCGTCCAAGGACCACTTCCCTTGCGTGGCATCCGTAGCACGTGCTGTGGCCATGTCCTCTGACAGTGATCTTCCGCCCTGTCACGCGAACCGCACGATTGTCGTTCGTGGCAGGTCTTGTAAGGGAATCCTCGCGTACTCCGGGCGGCAGAGGGCGGTGGGCCAAGAGCCAAGGTGTCTTGGCTACAAGACGGCCTTACCGCCGAACATCATAATCACAGAGGAAGACGTCCGTGAGTGGCCGATTTCTCGGTGTCGTTCGGGACGATGGGGCGCTGATTGGTGTGCAGATCAAGGCCCGTTCGATCTTGATAGAAAGTCCGTTGTAGATGGGGCATCGGCACGTCCAGATGCGGATAACGTCATAGCAAATAGCGTTAAGATCTCTTGGGTTGGACTGGACACAGCCCTTCAGAAATGGATAGAAGGCTTGATTCAGCAGCACCTGAAAATCACAGGACCCATCAACATCGTTGGACAAGGCAGTTCCTTGTTACCGCGCCTTCGATAGCGGTTGGCGCTACACACCTACATGCCTTTGGTTTGTTTTCATGAATCCCACCTTTCCCGAAGTAATGCGTATTAACCTGGCGTCATGCCCTGCTGTTAACCCCATCTATGTTACATCGGTAGTGTCGTTCTTGGACGGGAATTTTCGGTTCCCGCCACCGATGTATGGAGCGGTTGTCACCGGGGCGCTGCTTGCACTGAGCATGGCAAGGCCCGCAAGGAGAGTATTCCTTATCGTCTTGAGGGAAATAATGTAGTCCTTTTGGGGGTCTGTCTACCCCCGTGCATGTTAATGAGTATTGGGTGACATGTGCGCTTGGTTCGGCGGGCGCCCTTCTCAGAAGCTTGTACCCAGCGTAAGCGCGTGTCAGTTACCGCAGAGCCTCGAAGTCCAGGGGGGGTTAATCGTCGTCATGAGGAGTCACAACTCTTGCGAGGTTCGACGAATGCGCAAGCTTGCGCGATCTTGTGTCGACACATAGATTTTACCCCAACACAACAAACGGGATGATCGACCCTGCAAGCTGCTGTCCGCCCTACCAGCTGCCGTTCGCCGTTGTTGGGCACCCTGCGCAAAGTTTGTCCGAGCAAAACAAACGCGTACACATGTACCACGAGCTGCCGTGACGATGACCCCGCCTGAACGCCTACCGCAATGTGCCATGTGTGCATCTCTTTTCTAATGAAACTATCATACGGGTACGGTGGCACACCACACCAGTGCCGCCGCCTCCGGAGGACTCCAAGTTCTTCTTCCTCGGGATGGGCGTGTCGGTCTACAACAAGGAGATGCTCTCCAATAACCGGCTCCCGCTCGTGAACGGCTTCAGCCAGCTGTTGGTCTCGAAGGAGGAAGAGAAGGACAAAGCGGACGCACGGCATAACGGCAGAAAAGGCGAGCACGAAGCGGATGCCGACGCCCGCCGCCACGGCCGTGGACACCTTCAGCCGCAGCCACACGCTGCGGCCGAAGCCCCGGCGCAGGGTGGGCGGCAGGGTGCCGCCGTACCGACAACGTTGAGCCAGCGTAGCGGGGTTGCCGGGGACGGTGTAGAAGAGGGATCTTCCTCCACCACCGGCCGCAAGCAAGTGGAGGCGTTGATGGCGTACGCGGTCGGGAGGATACGGAAGCAGGTGGACATCACCATTCAGGTGACGGACGAGCTGAAGAAGCTCACGCCGGAGAAGGTTCGGGAGGCGACCGTGGTGCAAGCGAACAAGGTGCAGGAGATGCCCACGCTGTTGCTGGACACCTCTAAGAGGATGGTTGACTCGGGGACCAAGTTCGTGCGGAATTACCTCGAGGAGCAAGAGAGGAAGTGACGAGCGGTTCCCCTCTTCGATGTTTGGGTTTTCCGACAGCAGTTGTGTGCAAGTTTGGAACTTTGGTGGGCACTCGCGGTACAGCAGCGTTGCTGCAGCAGTGTTGTTCGTCTTTAGTTTCGCGGTAGTCGCATTTCGTACGTGTCATGATGTGTCTGGTTGGTTGTACATACATGTGCTAGAGCGACGTTTTTTTAAGTAATATATTTCCGATAGCTGTAGACAATAACCAACCCTTGTATGGGGGAGATGTATGTGTATTGAATTAATGGCATCGACCGCACTAACTGGCTGACCAAGGAAATTACGTGGGTCTTGTTGCGTTGTGTGCGTGCTAGCGCCCTCTCCGCCCCCTCCTCCCTGGCCTCATTTGCCGACTTGTTGTGGTGGAGTGCTCTTTCAAGAAATGACAAACAGCTGACAAACGCGAGACGTGACTCGAGGGAATGTGTTGAATTTGTTGCAGATATATGTTCAGGGATACCGTCCGGACCCCTTCAGGGGAGGACACTTACAAAGTGTGGTGTTGTTGGACCTCCTCTTGCACTACTCCGCCATATCAACGGCAAGAAAACCCGGGGATAAATCCTAGCGAGTACGCGGTTTGACGGAGCAAACGTTGTGCCCAAACAATAAAATTGGGGAGAAGCGATTCGATTTTTGTAAGATGTAGATCATCTCGGCGAGGTAACAGCACGGCTGAACAAACCTTGTCGCGATAAACGAAGGAAGGCACAGCACTTCCACTGAGAATAAAGAGCAACACACATCGACTTCTGTGTGGTCTTTTCTCCTGTACGACCCCGACTGATACGTCCAGAAAATGTCCAGCATTACACAACAGTACCAACACTGTTTTATCCAGATTGTTTTTCGGACAGCCTTCGGATATCAACATATCAACTCGGTCAACAGTCATTATTTTATATGAAATGGCGGCAGAGAACGTTTGGATGATCGTTTGTAGCGCGCCGCTCTACGAAACGATAGGGTTAGTTCATGAAAGAGAGGGGGATTGAGTTACAGGGATCAGCTGACAGGGATGCTTGTGTTTGTCGGAGATCTCGGAGATTTATAACTGCTGTCGGCGGCAGACGGAAAACCCTTCGCTGATTGGCCAAGCAGTTCAACTACAAATCACCAGCCGCACAGTCTAGCGTCTTCGCCTACGTGTTGTGTGCCATGTAAACACACCAACTTCCCGCGGTACGCGCCTGCCACCTCTTGCCTGTCACGCCAGCCGGCACTTGGAGTGGGGCTGTGTGCCTGCTGTGCCAGAGAACAAGTATGCGTCTGCGGGTCGCCTTGCTCGCGCTTTCACAGGCCCAGTCTACGTTGCCATTTGTACATCCACAAGCCTTTCGTATTGGGGATGCCAGAGCACCCCCCAGCCGTTCCAATCCCAGCGTCCGGATGGTGGCTTCCGTGCCGACATCGACAGTGACCACGCATGGAGTAAACGGTGATGTTGGTAAGGGTGATAGGCAAGCAACCAGCCCGGGCGCTCTTGTGATGGACCAGCCGGAAGGGGAGGTACTACGAACGGTCGAGATGTATGACACGACGTTGCGGGATGGGACTCAGATGGAGGGCATCTCGGCTAGCGTTCTCGACAAGCTCAAGATTGCGCTCCAACTCCACCACTTTGGTAAGATGTCTGCGTGTCGTCTGCGTATCCACTGGAAGCAATGATTTCTGCTGTTCACAGACCACCACCCTTGTGGGTACAAAGGTGGTTGGTGAAGTCGCAATCGACAGCGTTGCTGCTGCTGTCTGTAGTCAGAAGTGCAGCAGACAGATTTTTTGGCGACACCAGCAGCAGAGGAGGTACCTTGCGTACACGAACGACGGAACATGCAGTTGGCCGCTGCAGGCGGGCGAAGGTCCCTGACAACATGCAGCATATGTCTCATTCCATGACATCCCTACGTCGGATCACTTCACATTAGCTGCTTGACCGTAGATATTGACCTATGGTGTACTTCAACAGTAACCGGCAACAGCAGAGGAAAACTGTCATGTGTTGTCTGTGAGTCTACGGGTGCAGTTGAGGCATTCTGCCAGTCCCTGTATCGGCACGTTGTACCAGGAGCAGCAAAAATGAGGGTAGTGTCGGCATGAAGTCCCACAAAGACACCATTCAGACGGAGTCCTTTTGGCCACATTCGGTGCTGTAAGGGTATTGGTACTAAGCAGATCACCGCAGCTTCTCCTACAGATCGCTCGCGTTCCCGCTTCGATGCACCGAAGCAAGTCCACCGCTGGTCTAGAGCCACCACCCCAACGTGGAGCAGGATTGCGGTTGCTTGGTTTTGGGTCCGACAGTAAAATATGCGGTGCCACTACCGCCAACTGTGTATGTACAACAGTGTTCCGTATCCCGAGTTTGTCCTAAACGTTGTGTGCTTTGACGCCACCCAGGGTGAAACCTCGTCGGTTTCCGTTGATGGAAGTGTGCCCGAAACATAAAACATCCCGACGATGACACCAAGGGTCCAACCTTGTTCGTGAAAGGGTACGCGGGAACATCCGGACAATGGTTTGCTTCGGCCTACCGCCGGGTCGGATTGTGTCTGGCTCGCATTGTTCCTCCTCGAAATGAGTCACGGTATTGGCGGCGGCGCGGAATGTGGCTTCATGACCGATCTCGCTGCTTCTTGTATCTATCGCTGCTATCTTTTTGGCAGGGATGCATTACATCGAAGGGGGATGGCCGGGGTCTAACCCGAAGGACGTGGAGTTCTTCGAGAGGGCTAGGAAGGAGTTACCGGCCGAAGCGTGGGAGAGGGTCGTCGCTTTCGGAAGGTGCGCTCGGCCCCTCCCCCCTACGCCGTCGGGGGCGAAAAGGCGACCGTGTGTTGTATCGTCAGACACTCACAGGCTTCCCTTGGATGGATGCGACAAGCATCAATCACATGGCTTTGCTGGCGGCGTCGAAGTTTCTCATTCCTTGTTCCTTAGGCTATATTACCTTCGGTATTCGGGGTTCTGTATTGAAGCTTTTGGTTTGACATTGGAACCGCCTCTCACTGCCTGTCGTGAGGTTAGCAAGCATGCGGTGCTACATACGGAGGGTCGCCCGCATCGCGATGTAGTTTGTGGGAACCCACCGATGTGAGATGGTGGCAGCATAGGTGAACACAACCTCCACCCCAAGCTTGCTCCTCCCTTTTCCCCCAACACCAGCATGTCTCCCCCGCAAATCGCTCGCGCGTGCTCATCGCGTATCTGCGTGAAACTCGATCCACAGCACCCGGCGCAAGTTCAAGGCCTGTGCGGAAGACAAGCAGCTAGAATCGCTCATTTCGGCCGGCACTGGGTGCGTGACCATTGTCGCGAAGGCATGGGATCTGCACGTGGACCACATCCTCGAGGTACAGCATTACGCCCTTGCTCTTGGGCTGGTCCGCCTTTTTGTTGCTGCCCGAGAACACGCTCGCTGCCGTAGAGTCCGCGTAGATATGTTCCAGTTTCGCGTAATGTAGCTCCCGGGTTCGACCAAAACGGAGTCTATACGCTCATTCGTGCGTTCATTAGTCATCTCCCGATGTTACTCGTGCCCCTTTGTTTGCTTTCGCCGATGGAGGCGTAGTCGCCCCCCCCCCCCCCTCGCCGTTTTTGCTGATTGCGTGGCCCCCACGGCGGTTTCGTTTACTTACGTAACCAGGTTCCGCGAGAGGAGAACTTGGCCATGGTCCGGGAGAGCGTTGAGCACCTAAAAATGGCCGGGAAGGAGGTCATGCTGGATCTGGAGCACTTCTTCGACGGGTGGAAGGCTAACCGAGAGTACACGATGCAGGTACTGCTGTGTGTAGGTCTTCCTATGGCACCGGTGCCTTGTCTCGCACAGTATTCAGCTGCCGTTGCACGGGTGCGATGCTCTTCTTACGTAGCACAGGTTGCTTGCTTCTATTTGACGCGTTGTTGCCCCCTGTTTGTTTTGCATAGAGGTCTTTCTGTATTCTCACGTACTTTTAGCACATTGTCGTTGCTGGCTTCGATCAGACGCGTTGTTGCCACCTGATTGTCTTGTTTGGGCAAATCATCGTTCAGGTGTGCGAGGCGGCCGTCGGGGCGAAGGTGGACGTGCTCGTGCTTTGCGACACCAACGGAGGGTCTCTGCCGTGGGAGGTAGGTACTGCTACCGCAGACACCGCCGGGTGTTGCCGTTTTTTTGTTGTTCTTGTCGCATGCCATCTTTTTTTCTTCTGCAAGACCTGTGGGTAATCAAGTCTGCCGGCGCTTCAGGATTCGTTCTCGATTACCGGGCCTCATCACGCCACACATTTTTGTCGACCCATGCGCACGCCGCTCGTGCGTGTTTCCAGGCTCCTCTAGGAGCCTGGTACGTTGCAGTCGATAGCATCCGCTGAGGATGCCACCCTCGGCGTATTTACTCTCAAGCTCCGAACTATCCCTTCGACGTTTGTTGGTGAAGAACAGACGAGGAATGACGCTTTCCCCCCTCCTCAACCCCGCGTACGTAACGCAGATCGACGAAATTGTACGCGACGTCAAGGCTGCATACCCCGGTACTCGCCTGGGTATCCACTGCCACAACGACCAGGGGCTGGCCGTGGCAAACTCGCTGCAGGCTGTCAGGAGCGGGGCGGATGTAGTGCAGGTATTAATTTGTACAGATTTGTCAATTTTTTTCTTTCTTTGGTTCGTTGAGGTTTGCTGGACTCTTCGAGTCAAGAGCACCGCAGCTATTGAGCTTGAGAAACATCAGTGGTGGCAGCTGGCAGTTGATTCACACCATCATTGCTTCATCTCTTGCATCACGCCTTGATGGCACTCTTATTTTTTTTGTGCTCTGATGAGCCCACTCCGGCGGCGCGCCTTGTATGAAGGAACACAGAGTCAACACGGTCAAAGCATGCCCTGGCCCGCCCCCCCCGTGCGCAGCAAAACGCTTCTTTCTTTGCGGTGAAGGCGGATAACAGGTAACCTGCGAAGGAGAAAATATTTTGAGAATGCCGTGACTCATGTCTATCCCTGGCCGGCATGCCCACGTCTATGAATCTCCAAGTCCGCTGATGCTCGGGTGTATGTGTTCGTCGCGCCGACGGTTCGCAGGGCACCGTGAATGGGATAGGAGAGCGGACGGGGAACGCGAACTTGATGACCATCATCCCTACCCTTCAGCTGAAGATGGGGATGACCGGCGTCGGTGAACACTTGACCAACCTCACTGCGCTGAGCAGATTCACCGACGAACAGGCGAGAAATATCTCTTTGCCGCGATAAAACGCACCGTCTTTTTTTTTTGTTCGCTTGGTTCGTCAGCGCTGGAACGGTAGAACCCACAATGTGCTGCCCACAGGGTAAGAGTGCCGTGTGCCTCCGGCTGGTACTACGGGCGGCAACGCAATCCACCCTGTTTTGTTGGAGCGCACTCGTTCGTATACCAAGATGACGTTGCATGACCTTGCTTTTTTTTTGTTCCTTGAAATGCAATCACGCCGGTTCTCCGCCCTTTAGCTTGTTGACCGTACTCTTTAGCTTGTCGACCGCGTTTGCGCACCGCACACGTCGGAAATGCAACCGCTGCAACAAATTCTGACAAGCGCCGCGTTGCTTTCCACTCGCTACCGTCCTCGGCCAACTCCAGTTTAACATGGCCCATACATCCGGGGCTCCATTTACCGGCATCAGCGCGTTTGCCCACAAGGGCGGGATACACGTCAGCGCCGTAAACAAGATCCCTGACTCGTACCAGCACATCGACCCCGCCCAAGTCGGAAACATGAAAAGGTGAACAATCCGGTGCGTTGCGACGCGAGTCCATCTTTCACGGTATTGTTTCGCCTCTGTACGCCGTACTCTGCGAGAGTGGACGATCTTGCGGAGATTTCTTCGGCACTGCTGTCACACCCCTTTACCCCAACTATCACGACCGACGCTTTCCGCTACACCCAGGGTGCTTGTCTCGGAGTTGTCAGGGCAGAGCAACATCCTGTCGAAAGTTGAGGACTCGGGAATGGCTAGCAAGACCGAACTCAAGGCCTCGAAAGTCTGGAGGGAACGCATGGGACAGGTGCGACTGACTGTTTTCTTTTCTTCATGTTGTCCGTATGAAGGCGAACTAGCTAGGAACTTGAAGCCTTGAGACGAGGGAACACCGCAGCAGCGGACGTGCCACGCTCATGTTAGACGCACGCCGACCGCGGATACAACTAGCTTGGTTCCGGCGACACCCACCGCCGGGCACGCATCCCAACTCCCGGTCTCCCTTTCGGTTGCACAGGTGCTGAAAACGGTCAAGCGCTTGGAGACGGAGGGGTACAGCTACGAGGGCGCGGACGCCTCCGTGAACCTTCTCGTCCGAAGAACGATGAGCGGCTACGTCCCTCCATTCAAGTGAGAGGGCTAGATTCACAGCAGTGCTTCACAGCAGTGCTACAAGGGGTGCTTCACAGCAGTACAAGAGTGCTTCACAGCAGTGCTATATAAATTGCCGCAAACAAGTAGCGCATTTTTCCACTGTAACATTTTTGTCTTCGCTGTTCGTGAAAACTTTCTCAAACCCGTTCCATCGCTCCGGCGCCAACGCAGATACCAAAGTTTGGCTCCCCAGTGACTGGCAATAACCACACCTCTTGACCGGTGCCGGCTGAGCAGGTTGCTGGACTATCTCGTCCAAATCTGGGACAGCGACCGTACACCCGGGGGGCTAGAGTTTCCTTCCGGCCCTACAACCGCGAGAGCCACCGTAAAGGTCGGTCACGTGGTCCACGTCGGAGCTGCTTCCGTTCAACGTTGGCCGCACGAAACCCCGGTAGCGTATCTAGGGTCGGTGGTGTCGTCTACCGAGCAGATCGTACCGCCGGGCAACCTCCTCAGCCTCTTAAGCTTTTCACACTACAGCACGTCCGCCGGCCCACGGGCGCCACTTTTCCGTTGTCCGATATTTTGCCACACGATGTTATGATACCAGGTTCGGGTTCCTTCGATGGATTCAGAGGCTGAGTTGGGCATCGAGGGGGAAAACCCAGGAGTTCGTCTCGAGGTAGGGAGACGTCGAAGATACAGTCCGATTGGGCGCTGGGTGAATTTTCGGGGATTTTTAGTCTTCGTCTTATGCCGGACCCATGGTGTGGTACCCTGCTGTATTAGGAATTCCTCCTTCTCATTCCCCCTCTTTCGCCGCGGGGCGTCTTATTTTCATGTTGCCCCGACACTTGTTTTGCAAGTGCATAAACGCAGGGAGCCCCGCGACGTTGCCTTTCGCTGAAGGACGCCATCACCCCCGCGGTACAACATCTTGCTTTGTTCTTTCCACAACAATCTCACCGATGGGATGATCTGCTGACGTTGTGTACACATCAGGTGGCGGAAGGAAACGGACCGGTAGATGCTTTGGCCAAAGGTCTGTTTCGGGCTCTTCTGCCGACATTTCCTTCTCTTCAAAGCGTCAAGCTCAGCGACTACAAGGTGTGGGACGAGTCCGTTGAACAGATGGTCAACTGCTGACTCCGGTGCTTTCGCGAGCGCTGTGTCGGCTGTTGTGTTGTGACGCTGATGAGCTGTCCTGGTGTAGAAACACCAGAATGGTTTTGGCATCTTCAGCATTTGCCATGCCACACGTTACTGAGGTATCGCTGGCTGTCTCGACGCCTTTTTCGTCTCCCCAAAAATTGCAGGTGCGCATCTTGGACCAAGAAAGTGCCACGCAGGCCAAAACTCGGGTGTTGATCGAGTTTTACGAGAAGGTATGATGGCTGCTACTGCTGTCAACGGTTCCATACTTACGGTGTATTTGCGGCACGACCGATACCGTTTCGTGCACCTGTTACCACCATTGAGGCATCGCATTTATGGCCCCCACCCTTGTCGGATACAGCGGTGCTGTGCACTACCGTTTCGCCTTCCACATGGTTTTGTGAACCATCGCTAGTCATCGAGCGCCCGTCAAGGCCATTTCGACCACCTCTCCTTCCCGTCGTGCTTCACGGTAGGGAGAACACGTGATGCATGTTCATTGGTTCATTCGTGCCCCCTGCTACTGCCTTTTGCCTTCTCTGTCTCTCAGTCATCGGATGTCGGATGGTCGACGGTTGGCGTAAACACGAACATCATTTCCGCGTCAATGTCTGCTCTGATGGATGGGTTCGAGTACGCTCTGGTTGAGTTTGGCCAAAGCTGCTCAATCGACGCCGGAACGCGAAGTTAAGAAGGAGGTTTCGCCGGGAGAACATGTATATACTCGTCTCATCTCCCCAAGTTTTGCTTCACGTGAAGTTTTGATCTCTTGCCATTTTTGCTCCAACTTGAGGTTGTACTGGTTGCCAACCAGAACCCAAGTTTGTTGCTCTTGTCCCCAAGTACTATCGTGGAACCCAATTTTCGCTTCCTGCTCCAACCCTTCGCCGGCGTTTTTGATGGTGCACGGATGTTTCGTTTATTTCGAGTTACCGGGGTATGGGGTGGTGCTCTTTTTGCTCTTGAGGGAGGATTTCATCCACGTTGATAGTTGTGCCATTCTCAGCTGAACACCAAGATCGTCAGTATCGTCCTATGTCAGCTTGCTTCTGTTTGTGTGAAACACACACGAGGGTGTTAACCATGGTTTGAGCGCAAGTCGGCGTCGGTCCCCATTTGAATGCAAGTTGGGGCGAGGTCCCAGTTGCAGAGCGCTGGCAGTTGTGGTGTAGCGAGGGGCACGCTCTCGATAGAGCAAATCCCCTGCGCTAGAAAAAGTTTGCTGTATAGTCTAGGACCAAAAGGTGTAACATAAGAGGGTGTGATTTTCCGGGATTGCTCGTCTCCCGGTTAGCTTTTGTGATCATTGTATCGCGTTGTTTGAGGATTTTCTGGGTCCGTTTCTTATTTCCATTCTTAGATCTCTCGAGATGTGTACCCTTTTTGGGTAGGTGGCCTGTGACTACCGAAGGCGTCACTTGGACCGCTACCGACGTCGTCAGCAGAGATCGGAATGGTTTTTAATGTTAAGACAACGACAACAACTTGCATCACGGAACTTCCGCGGCCGGAGCTAAACTCCTCCAAGAATACCCACCGGTCAAGGTTGTGGCCGTATTCGCAAGTCTGAGTGTGCTCACGTCTTAAACCGGTGCAAGGCGTGTGGCCGCGGAAATATGGCTTGCCGAAGGACGGCGTTGTGAGATGCTTAGACTATCCCCAATCTTGATCGACACGCTAGAAAGAAATGATGGAACGCAATGCATCCGCGCGCAGTCTAGAATTCGAGTAACATCTCGATCGAGGAGACTTGTCATAACGGGTAAACAAACAGTCAGCGTGTGGAGTTCGATTCACGCCTCAACAGGCCTGCGACATCTATGCATGTCTGTGGACTAAGATAGATCGCGCACATGTTTGGAAATAGAAATTCAAAATATATTTATATCCGGCGGCTGTGCGTCGCCGCCGACCACAAGATCACCATAGACCCGCGTACCAATGAGTCCCGGTGTATACTTACTTTTCGTGCAGGAGTTGGCAGGAGATCAAATGTGGTCCCTCTCTCAGGAGGCTCGTTTGCTCCGAGGACCACATGCCCCCCCCAAACATATTTGTGCGTGATGCGCCACCCTGCCCCAGCAAGCTGCCTGCATCTCACGGGATCGCGGGACAGCTATATTTACTTCTTACGACAACGAGCCGAAATGTGTGCATAGCAGCAAAGTCGCCGAGATCTCGGTACCATAGAAATGACACGGATATTGTACTCACCGCTCTAATGCTACTAGACTGCTGCGCCGAAAACAGAGAGGCAGAGGGACGAGAGACAGTATTCTCATCTAGAGTGCATGTTGTCTGCACCGTATGCCTTCGGTTGGAATTTTCCTCAAGTGGCAGTGGGGACGAAAATAACAGTCCCGCCGCCCTTTTTCGTTCTTTTCGTCTGGATGGTTTTCTCGCGATCATCTCGCCCATCAAACAGGACGAGAGCAGCAGCAGGACCACGGAAGGGCGGTAGAAGTGCCACGAACAACCATTACCCGGCCGGTTTTGCTGGGATAATACCGTCATCGACTGCCCATCAGGTACGAATATACCTTGCGTTAATCCTTCTGTCTGCCAGCTGTGGGCCGGTCGACATTTTATGGCATGCTGCAGCCCGCTTTCTCCACTCTCGACTCTCGACCGTCGTGTCTCTTCCCCCCCCCACGGCCCTACACTACTAGGCTGCTCGGCATTCCTACCTAACTATAAAGGTCAGCGTGCCGCACCTGTTTGTGGGGCCCTCTCTACATGTTCACAGCCAGCAGCAATTCACCGAGAGGTGTGTTTGGGTGTCTGGCTTTACAGCCCGCAACACTCGCTTCTTTTTCCAACAATTTTCTGTATACTAGGCGAGCATCATGGTGGGTGAGGTAGCCGGAGATGATGCGTCTCTGGAAACTTGATGCCTATAGCTTTCTACGAAATACATGTCGTTGCTCTCGATCCACTTGTAGTCTCTGTACTACATATGTACGTATGTTGGCGCAGTTGCCACGGGAAAGTCTGTCCAACGTGCCGGGGGGGGGGGGGGTGTTTTTTTCCGTCATACGCAGCATTCAGAACCTTCGATGCCGCCGATCCTACCGCTACCTAGTAATGCTTGGTCTTTTCTATGTTTACATGAATCCCAGACCGGCAGTCGGCATGCTGCACACCAAACCCTCTGATATATGCACCACCGGGGCGTACAGTTAGCACCCGCGTTTAACCCTTACCGTGACTGAGTTAGATCAGAGTACTTTGATCCTGGCTCCTCGAGAACCGGCTCTTGGAAAGCACGACTCCAAAATCTATCTCTCATGTGTGCACACCAATCGCGAAGGTACACACACACACGAATCACAGCCCGGCAAGGGTGATACAGCAACGAGGAGACGTCAATGTGTGTTTACGACCGTTCTGCAGACAAATAATATAGAAAATCGGAACTGCAAGGGTTAAATAAACGTGAATTTGGGGTCAAGCCAACCGTCTACGTGAAAAAATTCCGGATACATATATCGGCCACCCCCCCGAGGGCAATTTCGATTTCTGTTATATAGGAATTAGTATAGAGGTCTTCGTTCACGAATATGTTTAGTTTATAAATCATTGACCCCCCTACTTCAGAGGTTTTTATATCCACGGTTCCCCTTGCGCAAATATATATGGTAGAAATTTAGAGTCCTCCCCCCCCGAACAACCCCCCCCCACGGACCCCGATCTTCGATCATTTTGTAGGCCTATGTGTCTTGATTTTTTTTCACGAAGACCCTCGGTCAAGACTCAATTTCTTGTTTCGTCGCCACCGTCGAGCATAGGTCATGATACAGAGTTAGTGTAGGATCCACTGAAAGGTGTGTTTCTCGGTAGTTTTTCTTACTCATCGCCAAAATCTGAACCTTTGCTTCTAAAAGGCCTGTTTCTTAATCGCGACCGCCGACTGTATATCTCAACAGACCTTGGCAGCATCTAGCACCACGGTATTACATAGCGTGTCTGGGGAGGGCAAATCGCGTGCAAGCATGCAAGAGTTCAACCTGCTCTTGTGTTGTGTTGCCCTCTTTGCCGAAAGATGACGGCTACAGTATTGGTACAGCAGTCGGGGGCCGGATTAACGGCGAACTAAATACAGCGGTTTGCCCGATATGAGGCGGCTGAAATTGACGTAGATGACTGGGACCCGCCAAAGGCGTCGACCGCCATATTCAGGACAGAGTCCCATATATTTTGGGCGGCATTCCCAACGCGAACCCGCTAAAGGCAGTGACACATCACTCCAGACTGGTTAGCGCACGGACCTCTCGCGTTGGAGAACCTCCAAACAGTGGGGAGAGCACAACAAAGGAGGAGACATGGGGGGGCGGAACTAACACAGCTGTTGCGCGCTGCAGAGAGCAGAGTTGTACGACATTGGTTGGTTGCGGAACCTTGGGTTGCGACAAGTGCCGCGAGGAACCTTGGGATACCATGGGGCAGCCGTGTGCTGGTTATTTTGCACCCGACCAAATCCTTATTTTTGCTATTCGTCGATGTAACGTTGCCAGGTATCTCTAAGAAAATAGCTTGCTCCCGAACGTGAAGGGATCCGTTGCTCCTCGTCAAACCGTCGTGTATAGGCCTAACCCCAGAAGTCGTCCACAGCAGTCAATGACCAAGCGTTCATGCTATATGATGAGGAAACAGTTATGCGGCTCGTGCCACACGCGTCGGTACACGGCGGTGCGTGGCCGCCTTCCATCACTTTGCGGCGCCCTGGTTGGGTAACACCCGCGAACAGGTACCCACCAATATTCACCCACCCTTAGCACCGCAGTAACCGCCTTGACGAGGCATTCTGAAAACCTGAAAATGTAAGGCTGCAACCCACCTTATATTCAAGAACACGGCGGTTGCCCGATACATGGCGGCCATGTTGACCTGCCCCACTACCGCCTATTGCCACCTCCCCTCCTGTAGTCTGCCCCCCCGGTGTTTGATATCGGGGTTGGGGTTTCGTCGATGGCAACGACGTTGCATAACAAGCCCCTCGTTTTTTTTTTTTTTTGCGGTAACCATAATTGCGGTCGAGTAGATTGTGTTGTGCGGGGTTGAGAACCCTCACTCCGCGCAAAGGGGATGATCACACCACGTCGTGTTGAAATGGCCATGCACCCTCGAGGCAGTTACACAGTGCTTATACAATAACTGTCTCTGGAAGTGAACGCACCAGAAAATATATTAAGTCATAAGCAGCTGTCATCCCGTACGCAAGGAAGTAAGCACAAGATGCCGAACACCGAACACCATTAGCAGGATGCAGCGCATCCTTCACGCGACTCGCCGAATACCTCACGGTGCTTCGCGCTTGGTGATGTGAGAACCTGGTCCGGTGAGAACCCGGCGTGCTCCGTCCCGGCTTTGTAGGTATGCGAGGTCAATGGTCTAACGACTACGGCATGCACGACTATGAGCACACACACCCCTGCCCCCCCCTCGCCCCGTACGTGTTCCGAACTGCTTGTCCGCAGGTACGCCGCAAAAAGAAACGATTTGTTGAGACTACGCGCTTGGCGTGCCTACTCTCGAGGAAATGAGAGTCGTGGATGAAGATGCGCAGCCTCTGCACAGACGGCCACAGGCGCAGCAGCAGCAGCAGCAACGGAGATCAACCACTTGGTGGAAATCGAACCTCGTGCGTCTTCTGGGGGCGGTGTTGGTGGTGGTTTATCTTTGCTCCGTCGTTGTGATCTTCAAGTATTTGACCTCCGAGTACCACAGGGCGAGCATAGTCAAAATCAGCGAGGAGACGGACGTCAGCGATTGCATCTTGCTCTACGGGGCATTTTGCAACGGTGAGTTCGCTGCGTGTCTACTCACGCCGGCGTCGTATGCACTGTATGGGTGTTGTCCTTTTTGCTACTGGGGGGGGGGTTTACGAGTGTTGATCGTTGGCGTGGTCGGATTGCTCGACACGCCTTGCTGTAAACAAGCTCGGAGGAATGGTCCCACTTGATGAATGGTTCCATGAATTTCTCGACAGTTGTCGGTATTCACGCCGCGGGGCGATGTAAACGAGAGAACAAGAGTCACAGACAGCGAAAGCCGTTTTGCTGTGATAAGCAATGCACGCAAATATATCTCCCCTCTTGTTCTACGATGCGATGCGGTCTGCACTCAGGCAACATGGGCGACGTGATCCAGCCGCAAGCGATGGAGAATCTCCTCGCTATGCTTGTGCCGGAGCAGTGCTTTTGGTACGCCCACCCGTGGGGGGAGTACCACATGCGGGGCAATCGGCTTGGGGAGTTCTTCAGCGGAAACATCAGCGGTAACTACGACACTTTGTTACCCCTGACGGCCGACCATGCTCAAGAGGTGACCTTTTGGCAACGGCATGAGTTGGGGCAGATAAGAAGCGGGAGACGTTTACGCCGCGATACAAGACCATGTTGCTCTGACAAAGCTCGCGAAGCCGCAGTTAATAGGACTGACCTGTTTTCGACTATCCAACGAGAATTTCACGGAGAAGGTTGTGATCGTGTCGCACGGCATGTCAAGCGGGACTCTGTTGTATATCTTGTACACGGAAAATACTGTGGTCCCACTACTGTTCAAGTTGCAGTCATGTAGTACGTTGCGTTGTTCGGGACTAGTCGCATCCGCGAGGTTGACGAGGGGCAGACCAACCGCAGGCTGAAAACGTCACCCACTGCAGGCTTCTCGAGCCTGCCCCTCCCGAGCCCAGCTTTGGTAAGCTAACCAAATGTGGCAAGACTCCATCATGGGACTTACATATATTTTGTTGATGCGTACATCAGCCCTATTGCGGCCCGTGCGGGCTACGAGCATACGCATCGACGTTGTTTGGATGGATGTACCACTCTGTATCATGACGACGAAGTCGATGATGCACGCACGTACGTACCTTGCGAAGGTGAATCGGTTCAAGGCTATCATCATCGGCGGGGGCGGGATATTTGCCGCCAAACACTCTCCGCTGTGGGTGGACGATTTCGCGAAAGACCTTACCGTGCCCATCATCATCATGGGCGTCGGGGCGAGCATGTAAGATGACAGCGAAAGCTGCGGTGTTTGTCGTACTGATACCCTTATATGAGTAGTCTTCAGGATGTAGAAGTTTGAGAGGGTGGGGAAGTTGTCCCAAGGTGCGGTAGGTAGGATATCAACATATCAACACATTTCTGACCTTCGCACCAGCCAGCCTTTTTTGACTTGGAGAGTTGCGCCGCCACCCACACACATCCTTGGTTTCGATGGAAGATGGTCTGCTCTTGTTCGCATTTTGACGATCCACCCTACATTCTTTCTTGGTGCCCCGTACACGAAAATATCAAAATACCCACAAGCATAGATTGTGCAGGCGCCGTCTCTGGCTTTCAAACATGTGGCGCTGCAGGAATGATCTTGCAAGATTATTTTCCGCGGCAGATGTTTTTCGGATGGTTGGGGTGTAGAATGTCTTTGACGGTGGCCCAGGAGCATCGGTAGATAACCGTCGCAAACGCATGGTGGTATTCGGGTTGGAACAAGACCGTGCTCCATGGTGGAGCAAGAACCGTGTGGGTCACCCCTCATTCGCGTCGGTAGAAAATCGCTATTGTAGGGTTGTGTGCCCGCCGAAGTTGTTTGTGGAAGGTTAGCGCTACGTAGTTGCTTTGGTTCGGCATCGTTCATAACCCCCGCCCCGGGAAAACAACCCACCACAATAATCTTTTCGTTTGCGTACCAAGTAGTTGCAAATAAAGGCTCAGTAACTGCTGCATACCACTACGGAAGCTTATTCTCTGTCGGTGCGTCTGGGTATCTCTCGCGTCGTCGCTCAGCGTCGCGAACCACTACAAGGTCCTGGTCGACAAGGCTGCCTTCGTGTCCGGGAGGGACGAGCGATCGATTGCCGCCTTCACCAGCCTGTTGCGAAAAAGTGGGGATAGATCCTTGTTGAAACCGGAGGATGTCGCCCTCGTGAGGGATCCGGTGTTGAGCGACAAGATGTTGACGGACACTGACGGCACGTGCTGGAGACAGAGCCAAGGTAGGGGTTGTCCTGACGTTCCTTTGCTGACTGTCTCTCGCGACGAACTTACAGTGGTGGTCCCGATGTACCGCGGTGTAGTGACAGACAACAATAACCGCGGTATATCAGGACACCGCACTATTGAGTGTTGGGGGAATATATATCGTTAAGTTTGGTAGCCAAATCCGGCGAAAAACAATATTTACCGCGGTGTATCGGGACTCGCACTACTCGGGACCGCGGTATGTCGGGACCATGACTGTACGTGCACGGGGGTCGCTTGGTGCTTTCGGTGACACCGTAAATGTGGGTAGCACGTCGGTTGCAAATCTTTCGAACACGAAGTATGTGTTGATCCCGCTACCGCACCGTGTATTTTGAGTACATGAGAGTAGGGATGGGTGGTTTTTGCCTGTACACTGCTTTGAAATGGATTAATTTCACACCATGTTGGTGTCCAAGTAAGCGCTGCCCAAATAGGAATGCAAGATTGAAAGCCCGGCGAATTTAACCCGATGAAAGCTCTGCCCAGAGCTTCTAGTCTTTGCTGTTTTTTTATTGTCCGCTCTTCGAGGACGAACCCGCTCAGCTAGCTTTTCCGTGGTCCTTGCCCCATCCCCCCTCTCTCACCACGCGGCCAATTACCCAGTTGGTGGTCAACACCACCATCCGTTCGCTGCTTCGTGCGGTGTATGCACCTTCTCCCTCAAACACTGAGAACGTCATAATCACTACCGGACATCACCATCGCCGACACCACCGCGAATACATACGCCGTTCTATGCTGCCTTTGCCTCTCCCAGGCGAGTTCCAGCCGCTTTGCTTCATCCTGCCTGCCGCGAACACCGAGGTCCTCAAGGCGATGCACGAGCACCTCCTGGACAACGTCGTCCAACGCGGAGACGTCTTCGTTAACGTGTTCCCCAAGCACCAGGACGAGATCGTCAACAACTTCGACTACCCGGGCAAGGTTCACCTGATGCTCGATCCCAACGAGTACTCGAGGCGCTTGTGCGCCTGCAAGGCCATCATCTCGACCAGGCTTCACGGGGCCATCCTGGGGCTCCACATGGGGGTTCCGACCTTTGGAATGTTCCGCGTACCGGAGGGAAACAAGGTGTGTCATTTGTACATCCGGCAACTTCGGCCGAGCGGCACATGTGATGTGCATACGCATTTCAAAACCCACCGCACGCTTCCGGCCTTGGTATACGGCTTGTCGACACCAGATGTTGGGTGAGGGTTTGGGAGACACAAGCGGGAGATGCGGCTGGTCTGCTATGTAGTGAACCTCGGTGCCGAATTGCACGGTATCTACGCGAAACCTGATCACCACTTCGCTTGCAACCATGACTGGTTCTTGTTTCCCGATTTGCTGCACCGCAATGCCCGGGGAAGCATTGTCGGTGTCGAAGGCGTCGTTTTTCAGATTTTGGTGTTTCGTACGTTTGTGGTGACGATGGTACCCCACTCCCCGTCTTGCGCACAAGCTAGACACATTCCGCTTCAACCAGAACGCCATTGTTCAGAGCTACTTGCGCCTGTGGCACGTGTGGTGTCTGCGTACTGGTTGCTTTCTTCGTTCGTCTCATAAAGCCAGTCTAAAGAAGCATTGGGGGTTGAAATCTATGATGTTAAAATCACGGGTTGGACTACAGCGGCACTCACGGATCTGATTTAGCCGGAACCGTGCTACAATGGTTGGGTTGTTCGGCATCAGAACTTATACGACACGCGCGGTGGCCTGCTCTACCTCGATGACTTTCCCAACAGGTCCCTGACGTGATGATCGACGTCATGCAACTGCCGGACCAGTTCTTCGTTATCAACGAGACGCTATCTCGAGGCTTCGTGGACGAAAGAGTTGAAACCGTCGTGGGACTGTACAACGACATACACCGAGGGCACCGCGCGTCCATTCACGCCAAGCTGGCGTCGTTCACGGACGATTTCCTGGTTCACGCACGCCACGTGCTGTTCGACGTTATCGGTGTGCAAGATCCAAGCAAGAAGAACATCCAGAGCAAAGATGATGGACTTCTTCCGAATGAGAACCAGCACCAGCGCCGAAGAAACAGCGCAACGAGAAGGAGAACACAGGGAGAGGCTGGCCCGGCATGACTGACCGTCAGTAGCAGCGACGGCCGCGGTGTCGGCAACGACGAAACGGGAACGTTAGTATCGATAGCGGCCGCAGCTGCAACTGCGATGGAGATACTTGCCTCCTACGCAGGACAATGAGTGCGGTCGCCGCGCGCAAAATCATGCTTTTGTTTCACGCTGGTGACACGGCAACTGAAAGGGCTAGGTCGCCCGCCCGCCTCGCCGATGTTGTAATAATAGGACTGGAATGGATGATGTAAAATTACCACTGGAAATCACGAAAGGGCACCACTTGAGAAAACCTGTTGCACATCGTGGATGACATCCATTCAGCCACAGCTTACCGAAGGAGCGCGGTAGGACACAACGAAGTGGCGGGGGTAGACGAAGTATCATTACGTTGAGCAGCCGGCATTCTGGGTGCAGAAACAGGAGCAGTCACGTCACGCGAAAGGAGCGTGGAGAATATTGGTTTTGGTAGTCTGACGTTAAGGCGAGCATGGTGGCGCGTGTTCCTGTATTGTATCCGACCCCAAGTGTGTAATGGTAGCTTCCACGGAGTCGCCAATCCAAATGCTCAAAAAGAATGGGGCGACAAACATGGTTGGTGCCGCCCTGTGAATGTTGTGTCTCTGTAGCCAGCCGTGACATGGTACGATCGGTCGGTGCTTGGATTGGAATAGCCGTGCCTCACTCAAACCGGAGGGACGAAATTATGTACATAGGCTTACCAATTATGTTGACTTGTTTGCCTATGACTGGTTTTGGCATCGGCCGTACCGATCAGCACTGCGTGAGTGATCCAACACTTGGGTAGTGCAGTTAACGGTTGCTTGTTTTTTTCCGTTTGTGTGGCCCTGCCAAACGTCGAACGTTCGTGGGGTGCCTGCTGATTGATTGTGATTTGTTTGACGCGTTGAGGAAGGACGACAACTATTTGCCGGTAGTTGGTGCATAAAGCTGTAATTTCCACCGGTTTCCCGGCAGTCGGCGTGGTGAATCTATCGGGGAGCGGTGGTGTGACGTTGATTGATGCATATCTCAGACTGCAAGACACGCCCGAATAAAAATTCCTTTTGTTGTACAATACACGAGACAGAGAGCGCTCCCGTGCGTGTGTGTAGTCGTGCACCACGAAGGGCGCTTGCTTTAAAGATTGCAGAAATATTGTTTCCATGTGGTGAGTTGCGTGGTACTTGAAACTGGGTTTGCCAGTTGGCGTAGCGAGGAACAACACCATATAACGCGGCGTCCGCAGCTGGAACAAGATATGTAGACCGATCTACGTTGTTGGCGACGAGCTTCTTACTTAAGTGGTCCCGGGTGTCATAGGCTTCCCAGTATGGTGCTTGGTGTCACCGTTTATGAGGCTCTCCGCGGAATGTAGCGACGATTGCCTTCGCGATGTTTTTGTCCCGAAGGCCGTGGGAAGTCCAAAATCAACAACAACAACACGACTCTTTGTTGGTGCTTACCGACAATCCAACTCGAAATGGTTTGACAGCGTACGGTGGTGCCGTATCGCCTTCCGAAGGGGTATGCCAGACCCCGGTACAACATAAAATGAGGCCACGTTTGGAGCATTGTCATTGGCCACATCTCACACGGGGGCCCCAAGTAGTTGGTTCCACCCTGCTCTCTGGTACTCCTCTGGGTGCAAGCGCGCGCGGTAACGTCGTAAACATCGAGTTTAACCTGGCGATAAGACAACCTATGTGCCATCTTTGACGTTCTCTAGCTAGAGTCCGAACCCGTCACTCCAGCACCGGCCTGATCCACCTTGGATAGAAGATAGCCTCATGAGTTCCATGAGTTCCTGGTCACCTTTGGCGGCTTGACTTACTTGTTTATCTGAAGTTGGGGGCAAGATGGAAGATTGCGAGCGATACGCGGTCATTTCTTCGTCGGTTGGATGGAGTGTGTCATTTAGTTCCCCGTTCTTGTAGGAACGTAGGTGAACATGTAACTTGGAATGAAAGGGGAGTGGAAGCAGAGCTCGACACAGCTGTGCCTACCTTGGATTAAATAGAGTCCCTATCGTCCAAGGGAGGTGCCATCCTCAAAGCATTTTCTCCAACATGACGGACGGAGTTGGATGAATACTCCGTCGCGAATCGAACGTCGACGCGTTCCTTATACTCTTATCGCGAAGCATGTTTCAGAACGCCGGGGGCAACACAACTCAGTAGTATCAACAACTAACCCCATCCCCGCTCTGTTTCGTGGCGGCTGCGTATGATGTAGGCTGGGATACAGGCGTACAGTGACACCAACATGTGTACGCCGTAGGTAGCCCTTTGTCCGACGACGGTCGCGTATTCTCGTGAGAGGAGTGCTGGCCAGAAGGAGCAGCAGGGTACGACAGCAACGAAAATTGCACAGCGGTCACGAATCAGGGTCAGACTCACGATTCTCGAGGGCCACAACCCTCCCGAATGTATGCCAAAGATTCTGCTCGAGCATCCGTATGATCTCGGTGAGCGGCTCCTTGAAAACATGGGCTCTTGTCTCGTCGTCGAGGTGCTCGAAGGCCGCCCTAAAGGTTGAGGACGGTTTCAGAAATATTCGTTGAAGACACTCGCGAGTTTTCGGAAACAGAGTTAACGAAAGGCACATCACGTGCCTCATCGCGACAAATCGCTCCCAGGGCAAGTATCCAAACTCCCGAACCGCGTCGACTTTTCGACATTCGCTCAGTAGACACAACCATCTCGGCTAATGGTACATGTAGGAGCGCATCAACATGGACACGCGAAGGTGGCTTACGACTACCGTATTTGGTGTTGCTTTCACGTTAAGAAGTGTACGATTCTCCTATTCAGTACCTCCTCTTGCATCCTTTTCAAACAAGGTACATTTCTGCTGTGAATGAATAGTGCTATGCAGAATAGGGATACAACAACCGTCAAGAGAGGAGAAAGTTTGGCCAAGCCAAGAAATTGCAGTCGCAACAAAGGAAAAAAATACACGTCAAGGGAGGCCAAAAATCAGGGTAGAGCGAACGAAAAGCTCCCAAAGAATGAACGAAGCCCCTATTGTTCGTCTCGAACGGTGGAAGGCCTGCGTCCCTCACCTTGTTCTCAAAGAGCTCATGTGCTGCCTTGTAGCGCTAGATATGTTGATCTCGTCGTCAGATGTAGACAGCAAGTACTTGCACACGATTTGAACGAAGACCTTGAACTGCTCGTCTGGGTCATTGAAGCCCTAACGCGCGACGAAAATAATTGGAATACACGACCACTTAATACACATTCTTGGTAGGGGGGTCATCGTGGGCATACGCATAGGCGCAAGTGGGACTTGCGAGACAACGAAACATCGAAGGACAAGCTCTCACCATCTCGTAACGGAGAACGTCGACAACAAAGTCCCAGCTTTCCATGCACAGGTTTGTTCGGCACAAGGCTTCAAAGCGCTTGCCCATCTCCCCTCCCGCACATGCGAGCGCCAAAACCCCTTCCACACCCGTCACTGCCTCGGCATCAGCGATGTCGTCAACGGGAATGACGGGGGCCTGGAAGCATCCGCGAATCCCACCACGGTGCGCTCTCGCCATAGGTATAAACAGTCTATGCTTCGGAAGCGGCGTTCGAGAGAAAACGTACCGAGCAAACGTGTTGGAGATAAGGGACAGCTGAGAGTGAGTGCGTATCGCTGCTTCCAGTATAATTTCCATGCAGAGGTATTGGAGAAGGACTAGAAACGGCATCTCTTCGTCGTCTTCAAAACTGGCTTGAAGAACCTTGTCACGCTACACTATTGATTCTAGTTGCACACATGCGACGGACCATGAGTCGCTCATGGGCCGCCATGGGCCGTCCATGGACCGTCATGGACCGCCCGTGGGACGTATTTGCTGGACACCCATGGGCTGCCTACGGTACCCGTGGGTCGACGAAGGGGCACAACTAGCCTTCTACGGCCCATGGGCCGTCCGTTGGACATCGCAGAAACGTAACGACGGTGAGTATGCTTTCAAACATACGACAAACCAGGACAACCGATGGGCGATCCATTGATGGCTCATGAACTCATTTGTGGCGGCTTATGGGTGGTCCATGGGCGGCCCTGGGACGACCAACAGGTCTTAGTAGTCGGACGGCCTATGGACATGACCCATGGGCCGCCCACTCGCGGCCATTAGCAGCCTGTTACGACCAATGGCAAGCGTTAGGTGGGCAAAGGCCTACGTACAATAGACCGCCAATGGGTAATCCGATGATTTCGACCACGAGGACGGCCCGTGGGTCGAACTCAGGGATCGTGTAATGAGATGACGGTCCCACTGGCGGTCCATCGACCCGTGGACAGAGGCACCAAAGACTCTATATGACCCTCAGTAATTGTTGCACGACGAAGATTGGTGCAACACGTCGCGTTGTTCCCGTTGGCAAGGTGTCTCGGGCACAAATGCTGCGTGTTCTTACGTGCTAATCAATTTTCGAATCCCTCCAGGAATTCTCTCCTGTCCGGGTCGCCTATCATACATTGACGTCGAGCGGACAGCATATGGCATACCTGTGGTGGAGTGTACGTAACTCGCCAACATTTATGGATCGCCTTTGTGCGACACATCACCCGGTTCGGAGTCTGACTGCTTAGGACTCTCTCCTAGCAAATGTACGGTTCGTCACACATGTGTTGATTTTGTCTGACTTCTTTTTTCTGTTGTGTGTCGTAAAACATACCCTTCGCAGGGTGTACATGGTACAAAGTCAGCCTGCGCTATGGAAGGCGTCCGCAGCAGTGTGGCCAGTGACTACGGATGTTAGAAGGCGCTGAGCAGATATAGGAACGGTTTGCAAGGTGAAGACACCAACCATTCACCAGCGCTAATCCAGCTAAGAGCTATCGCTACAACCCCCCTTTCCGGTAGCTTCCCCCGAAATCGATGCATGGATCGGGTAGATGGTGAACCTTCCTGCCGCAACACCGAAATTAGTACTGGGTGGGAGGTGATGGTACTTTAAAAAGAGGTTGACATGTACGTCTTACCCACACGTTCCGACGACCATCGCACCCAGGAGGGCCAGCACTTCGACCACGATGTGGACCAGAGGTGTGTCAGGCAAGACGTTGATGAGCACGAGCACCTGGACACCCCACATAACGCCTAGGGGTTGCGCAACAACGTAGTGCGCGACGAAGGTTGTGAACCATATGAACAATGTGAACCATGTCCAAGCACAG